CAAATAGATGTCTACAGAAATCCCAAGTATAATTCTCAGCCTGGTACTTTGACTGTTTGACATTAATTGAATTAAAATACATGTCAAATTATATCTTCTTTTTTCGCCTTGTTGTACCACCAAAGTACAGGTGGCAACTATGTGTGATCTGCATTTAAAAACCGTTTACAAAAAGGAAGTAATATTAAATGCAAATATACTATGTTTTATTTAATAATAAAGTTTGAAATGCTCATTCCCAGTGACATCATCATGCAGTCAGTACAAAGCAAGAGATACATACATGTACCAGTACGTGTTCTCCCCATAACCTTAAATTATGCTAAGATCTATTTCCTTTTCATACCCAATATACAGCTTTTCAAAGTTATATAAACTACCACCATGTATAGCAGAATATATTATCAAGAAATGAGGATCCGCCCAAAAATGTCTCTATTCATTATTCTTGATACAAAATACTTAAAGCAAGAATAGTAATAATAATATTTTCATAAATTCTTTTTAAAACCTAATTTTTATGCTGATCTGTCATTTAAATAAGACTTGTAATGTTTGAATTGCAAAATCAACTGAACCATATAATAATATTTTCCATACTTTTTCAAAAAATGTGATCAAGGCCTGTATTAAGAAATCAACCATTTGGTCCAAAATTATCAGAGAAATTATAGAAAATACAAAAATATCTGCAAAATGTTGGCAGGCAAAAAGGACATGTAGTCTAAAGAGACTGTATTTTTTCTGATGTATCTTAAAAACCTTGAAAACACACAAAAATTCTTTGACTTGATGTATTACTATTACGGGTTACAACAACGTTAACAGAATAAGCAGGGACTGTGAAGAGGCAAAGACACACTGATTATAGTGTCAAGCTCTGTTTTATTTGTCATAAACTGTAGATGCTGCCGTGATGGGTGTATTAAATAAGTAACGAACCCAAAGTCGTAAAATCAAAGAGTTTTATACATGTGATCAAGCGGGCTAGCAAGGAAAATGACACCAACTGAATAAGCGTAAGCCGAGTAAAGCTTAACTCTTCCCAGAAGAACAATTTATTTTCGCCAGACTCATATTGAAACTCATTTGTCAATGTCAGATAGATGTGCAATCAGCTCTGTTTTACAAACGGAATTCCAGTTTAACTTTCGTTGTTGCAGCAATGTCTTTCTCAGTGTGTGCATTTATGCTGCCTATTGGCTGTAATCTCACTGGATCATGGATCACGAGTTATGCAAGCTACGACAACAGAGTGAAATGCATGCAGGCACAGCTGTGTGACTAGCATCCGCAAAAAATCTGAATGTGTTTCATAATATTTTATCATATGGACTAACCTTTGGGGATTAACTTGCGGGTCTATACAGTCCGTTGGCGCGTTTCAGGGAATCCAATTTGCAAATTTGACTGTTACATATAAATGTATTTGGCTGCTGATGAATAAGCGCTAAAATATAATCGCTGAATTTTAGGCGAGAAAAGGCAAGGCAATGGTTCCAAATAGGGATCTCCTATAAAATGATATTTATTTTGTCGGTTGAATATGAGACTTTATTCTCCACAGTTAGAAAAATATAAAAAAAAAAAAAGTAAATTTTCAAAAAACTTGGAAGTTGTTTAAAAATGTTTTGATTGTTTGTATTCTGCGTTGGAATTGGAAAATTGAAAGGTGTTTAAATTTTTATCCAAAATTACACAATATTTCAGTCTCTACAAAAGTAGGTTTAAGAAATGTGAACTGATTGAAGCCCAAATATTTGACAACAGAATGATAGATGGTTAAAAATGTGGAACGGAATCCCTTGAGCCAATCAATACATGAGTTGGGAAACCATTGCCAAGTATGAAAAACTGTAAATACGAATTACATTCAACATTGAGAAAATGTGCGATATTTGTGAAATTTACAAGCTCATAAAAAGTTTATCACATGTAACCTTTCTGTTCAGTCACTAAAGCAGGTGACTGAGGATAATTCAGACTTGAAAACCTCTGCCATTATGAAAATCTATTTTAATACTGAATATATGAATAACATGGTTGTTGTCATACCATCGCACAATCATCAAAATCATATTAGTAGTCAGTGCTAGTCAATAATGGTTATGTGAGATCATGGCTTGTTAGTTACAAATCCCATATAGTGGCTCATGGGAAATATTAGTAAATGTAATTTGATATTAAGATGGTATACAGTGAGTTGAAAAAAAGAGACAATTTTGAAATAGAGTGAGAAGTAATATTTGTTGATAGTGAAAGTATTAATTTCAGCAGTTTAACATTGTTTTCATTTGTTCGTTGTTTTCAACTATTTCTGTAGTCTAATAATGCTAAATATCCTCATAAAGCAAGCCTAGTTAATCCCTCTGAATACTGTCTAGCCTACCTCTTGAAGAATGGTTTAATCCATGCAATTGGAGCTTTTAACTATAAAAGTTGTATGAGTAAATGTTTTGATTGTTCGTATTTTACGTTGGAATTGGAAAATTGTTCCCGCTAAACATGGATGCATTCATCCTGCGGACAAAGATATTTCAAGGAAACACTAATTTCAGGGTAAATGTCATGTAATAGCAATAAATTCAGGCTTGGCATATATAGATGGTAACTACGAATCCCCCCTTTCACTCGAGAAACAAGGTGTGCTATCATTTTAGAAATACAAATTTTCTGATTATAATTTGTTTTTTTGTTGAAAAATCATTTACGAGAAGAATACTAATTACATGAAAACTGCATGTCAGAGTAGAGTGATGACACTGTATTAAAAAAAATATGATTGTTTACGAGTTTAACTTTTGGCTCAGCCTGCAAAACAGTGTGTAAATAGAAGTCGGTTATGTATGTAAGCCCAGCTGGGACAGGCACTATATTCCACACTTCATTATGTCTGATAGCCCCATAACATGATACAAACGTACATACAAAAGCAATATATATCCAGTCAAGTAACGAAAACTTATTACTGAACAAGATGATCTTGTGTAATATATTGTGCTTTTTACTGCTGTTTGGAATTATTACTGACAACCTAGGAAAGTGAGAGAGACAGCACTGGGAGGCACGCTTACTTAGATACTGTAACCAAGGTGGATAGGGCTGGTTAACAAAGCATGGCAATACCCATTAACCTCTTAAAAGAGATTTTTCCCTTATCGATGAAATTTCAACTGAAACTGACAGAAAATAGCAGTCATTTGAAAAGGAAATAAAAGATGCTTGGCTCATTATCTGTCTTAATGGCTAGTGGATCAGCAACGCTTTGGCAGATAGATACGTATGTTTCAGCCTTCTCGTGGATGGATGCCGCCTTTGAGCAAATGTCCTACAATTACTGGTATTTTAACTGTGACAGTCTTCACCCGTGTTTGATTTCACCCAGGTGACATCTACTTATTGACATGATCTAAATCCTTACTGAAGAGAAGGAGGAGGGGTTGCCGGGGATACCAGGAAGTGTTTGATCAGCATCAGTGCAATTCTGAAATGGCAATCCACCCAGATTAGTGATTACAATGCAATTTTTAAAAAAAACTAAGGAAATCAAAACAATTGCAGCTGAAAGTGATGAAAATCCCTCCACTTCTAGTGGTTGCCATACCGATAAAGGAAATGGATGCAATGCCATGGTAACTAATTAGAAGTGTGACAAGATGAAGCAACGCATTGATGACATACTGTAATGACGGCTATCAAATTCTCCTGATTATTCCTGTCAAATTTCAAGTTTCTCTCTCAACTCTGTATTCATATTTGGATTAAAGTAACACCATGTTTCTCGTATTCAAATAATACAACTGACATGTTAGATTTCATGCTTTATCGGTTTTCTCTAACACACACAAGGGGATGAGCATGTACAATTCTTATTGAGCTTTCATTCAAATTCTGTTTCCTCCTCCTCTCTTTTGCAAAATAAGATTTACAGATTAGATCTACTTTTTAAATTTGTTTAAGGTTCAAAAATCTCTAAAAAATTAAACAATTATCATTAACTATCAAATTTGCTGTATCTGCAGCGGTTTTAGTTTTTTGATGACAAACAAACCAAAAGATAATATTCTAATGAACGTTAGTGACACCTATATTAATAAACACACATGGCACAAAATATGGTTGCTATGGGTAATAATGAAGTGACAATGTCAGTTATCAGTACTTTGATTAAAGTCAATACCAGTGATGGTAGCGAACATACGTATCGATTGAAAAGAAAAGTGACCTCGGCTAACTGGATGGGGATCAGTATCACAACTCGAGGGATTTGTTTTTTACTTCGCTTACATCTTCCTCTGCTCCATAGGGATCATATACAATTTGCAGCACATAGGTATGGCTGCTAGTTGGTCAGGTTAGCTTCATTTATTGTCTGAAATCAATATACTACCAAAAAAGAACTAGAACGAACAATCTTGAACAAATTACAGAGACGTTTTGGGCAGAGATGCGTTAAAGCTACCAACTAATAACAAGATTGGTGAGAGGGGAAGCCGAGAGTAAGAAAGAGGGGGATTACCGAGCAGGTGGAAGACTACTGAAAGCCAATTGGTAATTAAGAGGAAGAAAAAGCAATTCTCCATATGAGAAAGCAAAATGAATTAATCAACACCCTGACAATCACCTCCAAATGGAATGGTGGAAATTAATAGGAATGCAATTGCTTGTGACATTTACAACCAGAGGACCTGCTAGTAATGGATATGCCATTTGACATGTCTCAAACACATTTATCTTTGGGAGGGAACAAAAATATCTCATGTTTACGAGAAATGATTGTCATTGCAACGAAGACTAAAACTTGTAACTAAGTCATCATTCCTGCTGCAAAAAAAAAATTTGAGAAAACCTGTAGGCTAGGATAAGTAATCAATTTTCCTTGAATCAACTCTTGTGTTTATTTAAGGTAGGATAAGTTTTCAAAAGGTTCCAAGAGAACGGTAATGAAATCGGCATAACAGGCAAACAGTCATTGCACACACATATGGTGTAATTGTGAAAATGTCTGTTTTTAATATTGAACAGCGGATTATGTTTGCTGAATATCGGCCCGCAAATTAAACTATTAAATCCAAACTTTGATAATAAAGGAATATACATCAAGTTTGCGAAATTAATACAGTGCAGCAGAAAAAGAAATGCAATGAAACTTGAGTGTTATATGGTGGAATGAAATTAAAAAAAATTTAAGAAATAATAATACGAGTATAAAAAAATGGTGTTGTTTTCTTGTTGAATAAATCAATAAATTCAACTAGCCTATTAACAGGTGCCAGTGGAGTCTGTCAGCAGCGTGCCCATTGAGATAGAAAAAAAAGTTGTATCAAAATATGCAAGAGTTAGGCATGATCTCAATAGCAAGTAGATCTGTTGCAAAGTTTTCAACAAAACATGTGTTCTGAGTTGTAATTCCCACTCTCCTGGGGCCCGAAGTTACAATTGATGTAAAGCTATAAGAGTGGAGATATCTAGCCAGTGGCAGGCTGAGTTGACTGCAATGGATATTTAACATGTACATGATGTTCACCGCCATTACCGTACGCATCACTTGTTTTGGATTATTTCAATGTAACTAACAGTCCTCATTGAATCAGACAGCAGATGACCTCTGGGAGTGGATGGATAATCGCATGTGGATTTCTTGCGCAGATCCCTCAACACTTGCCCCAATTAGATCAACACAAGCAAATCACTTTACTCAATTTTTTCTTCAATGGGTTTGATTGGGCTTTGACTTGATTGTGTTCTCGCCCACAGGAATGACAATGACTATGTCTGCCAACCCACGCTATGAGCGGTCTTTCTTCCTGCGTCTCAAGTCTACGCTGACCAAAAGAGGTGTGCACATAAAGTCATCTGGCTACAAAGTAAGGGAAATTTAGAATATTATTTTCAAACATTTTGATGTTATAGTACCCTTTGAGCACCAAAATTAGTTTTTTTTCACCATTCCCAGTATAAACCTGATTACATTTTGTAGCCCTTTTTAATTGATGTTTGATCAAGACGTTAAATAAATTATACAAATAAATTATACAAAAATACATAGAAATGCACAAAATTTTCACCAAAATTTGGGCCGTAATGATAATGATGTTCAAAAATTTCACAATTGAATTTTCTATCAGCACTAATAAAAGATATTCTAATGATCTTGTCTCATTTTGCTAATCCAAATTGATCATACCATACCATACAAAGCAAAGTCCCATAGAACACAATAAAAATCCAGGGTCACAAACCCATGGAAGACCGTGGAAATTTGGTAGGTACAATCCCATAGAACACAGGGGGAATATACTAGTCACAATCCCATAGAACACAATTGAAATTTACTAGTCTTGAACAAAATCAAAATCCAGGATTCACAATATCCCATAGAACACTATGGATGTCCAGTAGTCACCATCCCATATAACACTATGGAAGTCCAGTAGTCACCATCCCATAGAACACTATGGAACTCCAGTAGTCACCATCCCATAGAACACTATGGAACTCCAGTAGTCACAAGCATATAGAACACTATGGAAATCCTGTATAACTAATGTGTATCCATACAAGATCAAATCAGGTTGATCCCATTAAGAAACTTTATCAAATTTATTTTAGTATTTCTCAAGATAAACCTATTTGATTTGATCCTATAAATTTACAAGAATTCCTTTGAGAATTCTTAGAATCACCAAAATCCTGTAGATAACATAGTTAAAATATATATGGGTACTCATATTCTTTATGATACAGGAATGGTCTTACAATTATCTCTGAATTGTCGCTGTTTCTTGATTTATCTTCCAACATTTTGGACAATATTTTTCATTGTTATTTAATTTAATATTCTACCAATTGTTAGTGTTTAACGTATTTTTTTTAAAAGTATAGTTCACTTTCTATGTAGAATTTTAATTTTTTTTTCTAATTTTTTTCTCTGTGCAGAATTTTATTTTCTAAATTTGAAAAAAATTAGCACATATCGAAGAGGACTATTTTGTGTGAAAAATTACACAGTTTGAAGTAGTGTGTGATCCAATACAATTTTAGTTATTAACTCATGTCATTCTCTCGCTTTGTTTCCCAGGTCGTTCAAATTAGCGGTCGACTCAGACCTAGAATGATATTGACCCACACACAGCGGCAGCCGATAACAATTATTGGTTTTGTTGCACTGGCCCATGCACTGCCATCACCTACCATTAACGAAATACGTATAGAATGTGATCTGTTTGTCTGTAAGGCCAATATGGATCTGAAAATCGCCTTTTGTGACTCAAGGTAAGACAGGTCTAATTTAGTCAACTTTTGTAGTCTTTCACAAAATGAGACTTTTTTCAAAGATTTTGATCGAGACATGTAGCTAATGTAAAATTATTTGCTCCAAATTAACAGAAATTATAGAATAATACATTAAAATGTGCAAAATATTGTTTGAATATTTGGGCGGGAAAAAACGATGGAATTCAAAGGGTTGAAAGAGTATAAGAATACTACAGGTTTGTTCAATATGAACTGTCATGTTTTGGATTTTCTTTGTCAATCATTTAATTTTCATTTCTAGGAATTTTAAACGATTTTAATGATTTGGCGAAATACCTCCTTCTCTGACTTCAGTCCTGTTAAATATTTACCGCTACTGTCTCGGGCAAAATTAAAGCCGCAAGTATATGCGTATACTGCTTGCCCTGAAAATATGAAATAAACAAACGAAGATTGAAACAAGACAGGTAGTACAGTTGGACAGAGATAATTGAACATACGTGACATTGGTAATTACTAACCCTAAAAGCAATGCATTTCATTTCCTAGATGCCATGCCAATTACGGCGTAGCTTAGGTCCGACCCGCAGAGTTTGCATGTATTCTTTTGAGACCTTTGCAGCTAATTCCTAATCATAATACCTCTCTGGGGATAATATTTATCTGTGCTGGTACAAAGAAGAAGTAGGTGAAATGTCTAATGAAAGTTGGCAGAGTCGGGTTGGACGCATTACGGAGGTTAATTCACTATGAATTGATAACTGTTTTCAAACAAATTTAATCTACTCTTCTCGCACGGCCTTGAATGCAGCGGACTTGTCCGTTACTATTATACACATCCTGTCATTTATAAAAATACATGACTCCCCGACCCCCGCCAACTTGTCCTAATAAAAACATGTTTGTACAGCCTTAATATGCATTTCAAATTCATCATTATCTAAATTAGGCTTTAATTTGGAGTGTGAATTGTCATTATCTGAGCGCAAAGGTCATTTCTTTTCTCGTACTTTCTCATTTAATATGGTAGAAGGTCGGTCAATTTTATTGCACCATCCACTCCTAGCAAAACATGCTATATTGTACGGAGATTTCATAATTTATTTCCCTATACAATACATGTAATCTTGGACGTTTTTCAAACACGTTGCGAGCTCTCAATTTATACATACATGCATTGTCAGAACTCATTTCTTTCGAACTGCCGTAATTGTGAAAAACATCACTTTTTAATGCTTTCCCTTCATAAATAATCATTTGTCAGTAGACGCATCAAAGCCAAGCAGTGTTACTAATTTAAGTTAGCATATACCGGGCTCTACTAAAGCTTGTACCATACGATATATAGGGTGGGGTTCTTAAACAGTCGACATGTGCGTGCACAATATTTTATGAGTTTGAAGCATAAATGTCATGTTATCTGTGACATTATATTTTAAGCGTACAATAAAACAGTGGGATACAAAAAGGATGAGATCGCTGCCAAGATGATCTATATCTGCATAGCTGCTGTTTTTTTTAGTCTTACCAAATTGACCACCTTTATTAGATGGGAAACAGGCCTGCTGGGGAGACAGACATGCAAGTTGCTATTATAAAGTGTCAGAGACTATAATATAACCATAGGGAGACCTTCGTAGACGCTCGTAAACGCAGTGTAAAGAGTTGATTACTGTCTTGCTTTTCCATACTACGTAAATGTATTCGTTGGGTAGAAAGCAAAAGCAATAAACGACACGTCACGCTGACCCATGCCTCTGTTATTACAAAGTCATTAAATAATAAAACTGCCAACGCTACGTTATACTCTACACCAATAACTCATTCCTGGGAACGATGGCGTAACCGTAGAAAATGAGTTTTACCTCGTAATTTCATGAGCTAATGGTGTTGAGGTGTATCACAGAGAGGTTGTTGTGAGCCCTCTAGTGGCCACATTTTAAAATATTGCCTGCTTGCCTGGTGACTCTTGAGGGCGATCTCACATCTTTTCTTGATTCTCAGTACTGATTTTAAGTTTGAATCATAGATCCTCCAGTAGAGGGTCTATGTTTGAATTTAGTAACTAATTTCAATTTTTTTTGTATATAATTCTGTAGGATAAGCCAATTCATGGACTTTACTGCAAGTGATGTTTTAGGAAAGAGCTTTTATGATTTCTTACATGCAGAAGATATTGCGGCAATGAGGGACAGTCATGCAGATTGTAAGTATTCCCTGTCTGTCAACTTTCATATATCTAAAAAGTTAACATTCATTGGCACTGCAGGCTAGTACTTGCAGTAACAAAAGTTGTTAAGAAATGAGATAATGAAAACAAAGTGATATATTAATTTAAAAATATGTTTTTATTGACATGAGCAAGACTTTTTTAAATTTTTTTTACACGTGCTACATGTATTTTTTTTTTTGCTATATCTTTTTTTTTAATTATTCAGATTTTATGTTTAAAACAATTACTATTTATTAGAAGTTACAGTCTCTCCTCTTCAGTGATTTAACCTTGTAGCCCGCCAAAAAGAAGCTTGAAAATAAGTACATTGTATTCCACAATACTTTGTTGATTTCTAAATTCTAAATATAATTAATACCGTGGACAAACAAACAAATCATCAAGCTACAGACATGTATGGAGCTCCGTGCTGCACATACACTCACCCCATATAACTTACTGAAGCAACCAACACTGCTCTGTACACATGCAGTAGTGAGGGAATATCTTTACATATAATATACATGAACAAATATTCACATTATAACATTCATATTAGAGAAAATAGCAAAATATAAAAATGAAGCAGAGCATCATGGGTATTCTCTAGTTAACTGAGCACAAACTCCATAATGATGAGTGGCTAAGCCAATCACTTACCATTGACCCTTCAACATAAACTTCTACAATTTATGACTTACATAATGCAAAGTAATTCTGTAATTATTTCAATGTAAAATGTTATAGTTTGGGAGTATTTGAAGACTGAATTTTAGTTTTCTGTCACTATTAAAATGATAATTTTGTTTATACTTGAGCTTAACCTCCATGCCCAAAGAGAGGCAAACAAAGAATTTCAAATTTTGCTCTGTTTTTAGAGTAAATGTTTTATGTGATTTTTTTGCCTGTTACGTATCACTGAAAATATCACCTTGCCCGTACCTGCTCTTGGTTGGAAAGTCAGTTGGTTAGTATTCCAGCGGTTGTGCACTGATCAAAGGTTCAGTAGTGAATGACATGTTTGTTTGAGCATTCATGGTATTATAAAGCTGGACATTGCCTTCCTTCCTTTAATTTCCTCTTTGAAGAAAATAATGCACACAAACGAAGGTTAATTAAATTTGATGTTCATCTCTAACATTGACGCTACATTGTGTTCAGTTTTTCCACGTTGTACAAAGTTTATCATCTCACAATAACTTGGGAAAAAGACCAGGATATTAAATTGCATTATGTATGTTTCATGAAAAAAGTTATGTGTTTCTTTGTTGTTGTTTTTTAATGGTGACACATACACGTTACAACAGGTGAATGACATCCCCTAATTTACAGTAATAGTAGTTCAGTTTATAAAGTCTTTGTCAAATACTGTAGAATACTTTATTTTCACTTGGCATTTATTTTCGCTGAAGGGATGATTCCGTGAAAATACAATCCAGCGAATATACTTTTTTCCTATATTTCACATTAAACTAATCAAAAATCAGTGAAAATAAATTCCGTACAAAACGCCCAAAAAGCCTTTTCAGCGAAAATTAATTTCAGCGAAAATAAAGTATTCCACAGTATGTTATTCTTTACAAAGGATGCCTCTCCCACAGTCCAAGGACTAATAAATAGTATTAACTTATATTGCGCCTTTTACAATTGAACTGATGAAGAGCATATTACAATATATCAAACAAAGATGAGAATTACATTCATGACAATAATAACAATTGAATATATATAATAGACATTTTTACATCATATGTGCTTTTTTGAACAGAACCGTTTTGAGCAGAGTCTTATTAAATTTGTTGAAATCAGAGCAGTTTGTGATGTTGTGTGGTAAAACATTTCATAATCGTGGTGCAACCACAAACATTTTACAATCTCCACAAGTTACCAAATTTGCCCTGGGTATGATTAGTAGCTTTAATACAAGATGATGATTTTGGGGATGATTTATTAAAAATATATGAATTCAGCATATGACAGATATATGCCAGTGATCGACCAGTAACTGATTTATAAACTTGCAGTAGCATTTTATATTGAATTCTATACTTAACTCTTAAACAGTGCAGTTTGATAAAATCTGGTGTGATGCAACTTCCTCAAACTATCCTAGCTGCGATATTCTGAACCTTCTGCATCTTTAATTGACAACTGAGCACCTGAAATGCCTGCCCAATCACATGTCACTTTATATCAAAAACAGCCAATCAGAATATTCGATTTAATTTAAATAACCCAATCAGGTGTCACCATACATTCCAAGCAGGCAATCAGGTGCATTCTTTAAATATTCAAAACACAATGTCATTATTTGCAGTAATAACCAAAGGACAAGTTGTTACTGGATACTACAAGTGGCTGACGAAAACCGGTGGTTATATTTGGATGCAAACGAGCTGCACCGTGACATGTTCCAAGAATACTAACGACAGGGTAGTAGTATGTATCAACTATATTCTCAGGTAATATTTTCATGTATTCAAAACTTTTGTTTACTGTAAACAGATTTAAATTGGAGAGACAAATTTACATAAGTCAGAAAAAATCATGAAAAATTTGTTGCAGTACACAAAATGTGGTCTCAGTGACTGTCGCAAAATCTTGTCTTCACGAATCCTACACAATCCCGTTACTGCACATATATGCAATGCATTATGGGAGAGAACTTTAACAATATTAGGATTCATGTTGTCAATAATTATATACGAATTTTTCATCCAGTATGTGTCACCGAGCAAAATTTAAAGTTATGAAGATATAATTTTACTGTAGACTTAAATACAGGCATTTTATGTAACAATTCAAACTCTCTGGTCACCCAGTTATTTATTTCATTTTCAGTATCATAATATAAAAGTATAACAAAAATGACATACAAATTTGCTTGAACCTCCTTGCACTGACAATTCATAGCATAGTCCAGGGATCCTTGAAACTGTCCGCGAAATTCTGTATGAATAATTAACGTATACTCTCTGTGCTCGGTATAAATAATGTATAGCCTCCATTCTTGAAGTTGTGATGTCTTCAAGAATCTGTCTTGTGATACAAACTACATTTATTAACAATTTACAATTTACGGGATTTATCAGTCTGAATATCACATTGAGCATTGAAATTATTTACAGTCTTATCATCAAGATGCTGGTGTGACACAAATTATACAAATATCAATTTGGCTTCAAAACAAAATAAAAAAGACCTTATAGCACCACCATAATGTTGGTATAATTAACTTTCCATTATTTTACACACAAATGATTAATTTAAGATATAAAATAATGTCAAGCTTTGTTAATTTTTCAAATTAACATAATATATGTAGAGTGAATTCAAGAATGTAATATGTTATCTCTGTAGCCCTGTTGAGTACAAGAATTGTGTGATGGATATATCACAGTTACCAAACCGACCCACCGATGATACATCAGAGTCTTCAGATACTTCAGAAAGTGAAGCTGGCTCAAGCAGTGATACAGGTTTGTTACAAGCAAGATTATTATTGACATTTTTCACAGACATTATTTGCATATCTGCATGCTATTACGTATGTAGCGCAGAACAGGTCAATTTAGGCATAACACTTAAACATCACATAACTACCAAATTGTTTTACATTGGTTTTACAGTTCAGGTTTCAATGCAGATCAACAATTATACAGAATATATGGAAAAAATGGTCCATGAAAATTGTACAATTTTCTCATGAACTGTAGCAAAACAACGTATACAGAATGTTTGTATGCCATTATAAAAACAACTTTGCAGTAATATATTTAATGACATTTTAGGATTTGGATTTCGACCCATGAATAATAAATATATAATCTCACATTATTTTATCTTAGATGTATAGCACAGATTTGTGATTACTGATAAAGTAGCATAATAGTTTTATGCAAAACTTTGATGATACCTAATCACGACGCCACTATTGACGTCAACTGAAAAGTGAAAATATTCACTATGTATTACATATCACTTCCCTGTTTACATACTGATATAGCGCCCAGTTTTAGAGATCTGTTAAAAGCCAGTTTTGCATTTACAGCCAAGCTGTAAATTTAAACAATTGTCAATAGTATGTGACGTCGTTTAGAAGAAAAAATAATAGAACAGTAAAACAGACACATACGCATTTCCAGTGGAAATGCAGCTTTAAATCCTACTATGGCAGTCATTGTAGGTTGGAAAATCAGTAAAATTGAGATCATAATTCATGTACCCAGATTTTTTGCGTCAGAATTAAAAAAAGTCAATGATTACCGGTAGGCAATGTTTTAGGAAATTCCTGTCCCAAAAGTATGTAAGGTATGATGATTCTTAAAACAGCAGTAGCTGTGATTTTCAAATTTGTTTATTGTTTAAATATAACTTTATAAAAATGACAAAATCTTATCGACACAATTGTATAGACAAAGTGGACCTACAAGAGGCTAATATCACATAAAATTCGATGTCGAAACTAGGAGTCAAGTACATTGTACATTTCATTGAAATCAGTCATGTGGTGAGGACTGTAGAAATCATGACGCACATTGCACACTGAAAATAATACATAAATTCACCAGTGAGAGGCTGTCAGCGAGAAGCTTGTCTCTCAAGATGACATTTTGCCCAGGCGCTCCAGTAATTTCTCATCTTGTAGATTTCAATAGATGGCGCATATATGCTATGCTTTCAGTGTCCACATTCTGGCAATGGTCATCACAAATTGGCACAGGAAATGTTTTATCAATCGAAGAAAAAAATAGTTACAGCTCAGACAACCAATAAACACAGAAATACTTCAATATTTCATATTATTTTATTCTATTCTATTTTGTTATGTTATTTTCCATTATAATATTTTCTATTGTATTCTGTTCTGTAACCTTATGTTCTATTCAATTCTATTTTATTCAATTCTATTTTATTCTATTCTATTCTATTCTATTCTATTCTATTCTATTCTATTCTATTCTATTCTATTCTATATTATATTCTATTCTGTTTTGCACTTCTAAGTTCTATGTTATATTCTATTTCACTTTGTGCTGTTCTGTTCACAGTTTCTATTCATCATTTTTCAGACAATGAAGATGTAGAACAGAAGGACAGCTCAAACGACAGTGAAGACAGTGAGCAAGGTAACCATGGAAACAAAAGAAACAAAGTGACACAGAATAATAAACATGGTTCTCGAAAAGGAAAGAAGAGAGCGAAAGGAGCTCGAAGCAAGAGTAACAAGAAAAGGCGATACGAAACTCGTCAGTGCGATGCAGTGGCAGATAAGAAACACACAGTCATCACAGACGAGTCAACGGTGCAATCAGAGACAGCGAAAGATAGTGATTCTCTGAGTGTGGAGAGTCCTGTAACAGAAGGAATGAACTATAATGGAACAAATATCACTGCAAGTGATGAACCAATCAGAAGACAAGGGCAAACAAGAAAGACAGATGATATTACTGATGTTGATTCTTGCGATAGCCATGTAAGCAGTACTGGAGCTGTTAATGGTGGCGGTGATATAACTTCCATGCTTGATGGTGCTAATTGTTGTACTGATCAAACCCCTTGCATTCCGTCCCCACCATTTGATTCCAGCTTAGGAGTCAAGTCGGAACATCATGAGACTGACTTCCAGTTGGAGAGTTGGGACAACCCACCTAATCGCGAAATAACACCGGAGCAAACAACGTTGATCGATACTCCTGATAGTCCATTTACCCGAAACCACTCTGTAATGATACACCGGAATATGAGTCATTCACCGGTCAGCCAAACAACGCTGGGTGCACAAGACATTCCTAAAAGTCCTTTTCGTAAAACATCATCGATATCCAGCCCAAGCACGGGGATTCCAGAATCTGTTCTGACGCCGCCGGCAACTGAAACAACCAAGTCTGGGTTTATCCTCCCACCTGTCAGCTCACTGACGGCATCAGTCAGTACCATGATGCAACAACAACAGCAACATCCTAATCTAACCCCACCGACAACACTTTCTCCAATGGAATTGATGAAAGACACGTACCAGCACTCAGAGACAGCGACATCACTTAGCGCTATCAGCAGTGCCCATGCCAGTTTGCTACAAAACGCTAAACAATCTGTCATCAACATCCATCCACACGTACTCACCACTGATTCAGTAACCACAGCATATGCTGGAATGGCACCCTACGCAAACTATAGTAAATATACATACTCTCCATATGGCGGTATGAACCTCGCAACACATCCGGCATACCAAGGTAACCATTACACGCATATGTCAGCATACGGCAATTATGCTCATAGTCAAGAGACTCCCATAGACTTAACATACGGGAGTGGATATGGTTCGGTACAGATCGTACGGCCTGAAGTCTTACAGAACGCTACAAAACAGTCGTATCTCAGTGGGTCCAAATCGCCATACTCATCTTTTGTTGATGCGCGAGAGCAAGTAGGCAAGCTTAAAGCGAGCAGTGATATACCGGGTAGCGGACAACAGAAAGTCTGATATACCGGGTAGCGGACAACAGAACGTCTGATATACTGGGTAGCGGACAACAGAAAGTCTGATATACCAGGTAGCGGGCAACAGAAAGTCTGATATACCGGGTAGCTAGCAACAGAAAGTCTGCTGCCGCTGGTATTGTGAACATTCATTATATAGAGTACTGTGCGTTTTGTTCATTTTATTTTTAAAAGGCAATTTCTTTTGATGATAATGGCATTGATATGTGGTTTGTAGTTACTGCTTAATTGGTTCAGTATTTTGTAAACATATCATCCTATTCAGTCTGAATTTTTGTCTGAATTTACAGTTTGATGGACAAAAAAAGTACACTATGATTGGAATTTTGGACTTGCCAGTTTTTGTTTTTAGTTCAAGAAAGTGGTGTTTCTTCTTTTTTCGTTGCCTAGTGATTTTTTTTTCGATAAAATATTACATAGTAGTAAATATATGATATCAGCATGAAGGCTGGTGCAAAGAATACAATTTTGTTTTTTGTTTCAGCGACAACATTGGCATTGAAATAATGCTTCCAAGACACAGTACAATGAGGCAGGTGAGGAGTTGATTTATTTTAACGAGGACTGTTTGGATGCAAATGCATTAAAAAAAATTATAAACCTTTAAAAAAAATACAAGTGAAGAATTGTCAACATTTTCTTAACAAGTATGCAATGTTTGGGGTAGGTAGTTTGGATTACATATGGCTGCCATTGTCAACACAGCAGAGTACATGAAACGAGACGATGGTTTGCAATCATTTCCATTTTTATGCTTCCATTTGTTACAGATACAATAGTATAAAAACTTTATTTTTTTGATTTTTTGAAACTTTATTTCAGCAGTAAAAAGAACCAAGATGGTCATACATTTTAAAGTATGGAGGGGGGGGGGAGATTATTGAAATTTAAAAAAAGCGATTAATTTTTATTCTGATTATTTTCAGAAGCATTTTAGTATGTGTTATAGCAGTGTAACTTTTTTTTTTATTTCTTACAAATGAGTACCACGAAAAGCTTTCAAAGCAAAGATATTCTCCCAATCAAATTGGGTGTGTGTTTTTAATGCCTTGTGTTGTATTTTGTTTTTTTAAATGTAGCTAGCATGCCAACTGTCTTGAATCCTCAATATAATTGAGACTAAATAATGCCAGCTGTCCTGATATATGTATGTACATCACAAAGGTTTATTATTATTATTATCGAACGTACTTCCACGACCTTGTCAGTTTTACCCACTCCCCATAGTTTATGAGAAACAAAACACAAGATTTTTGAATATAAAAATATATGATGATTAAATATGGCAATGCACGTACCAAAAGAATACAATTTTGTTGGTTTTCCAATTTACCATTTCAAATCTTAAAATATTACAAAAAAAATAATCAACAATGGTTGAGTCTCTCTCTTTGTGAAAATTACTCTTTGAAAGACTACACTTATTATACTTGACTATCTGGAAACTCCTCTAATACTGTTGTAAAACAACTTGGCCAAAGGACATGCATGATTGTATCAGTTACAGTTGCTCTTTTAGCCAGATAGTTAGTTGTGGAATACTGGAAAATTTAAATTCACACGTTATAAAATTTTCTTTTATTAATGCATCATATATCAAAAAATGTGGTATAGTGCCAATCTAGTGTTCAACTATAGAAATGTTTTTAAATGTTTAAAGTCCAATAAGTGGTAATAATTAACTGGCAATGAATAATTTGGGCTTAAAATTAAGTCAAAATCGTCATCTCTGTTAAAAATGTAAATCTGTTTGTTCTGCTTGATTTCAAGTCACTCCAGTCAATCACTTCATACAATCACGTCATAGGAAAACATTTCTACAAGATTACTTTGTTCAATGTTTTTTGGCATTCCTTTTCAGCAAAGCAAAAAATTAATATTAATAATCTTGTCAAACATATCAGCAGCAGAGTCACTCTATGAATATTTATTAATCCAATATGGTTGCCAACAGGTCCACCAATCACATAGCCTCTTGGTTACTTATGATCTACACCATCTATGAAACATCTCTCCTGATTGGCCTGATATAATTTGAGTTTTAACTCTGCTATTACAAAACCAAATTTCTTAATGTTGTCAAGGTCATGTTTCCACGCTTCACTAAAGAAATTTAGTTTTCAGATATTTTATTATTAACAGTTGTTCATAAATAGTGTATTCTGTCTGGATTTAATTTCAGGGAAATTCAAGTACCAGTACACTTAATTTTGACACCTCAGACCAAACACACAACGTAACTAAATATGTTAATGATAGTATGCATTAAAAAATATATTTGACACTGACATAGAGCCATCTTTCTCTTGCCAATATTAATCATTGCAAAGCAAAGTTGTTGTTTTGAAGAAGAGAATAAATACAAAATGGGACCATAATATTTTGTTAAACATTTATAATTTTTAGAATTCTTGCTTTAATAAATTTCTAACAATGTACTCTTGCTAAGTCGGTGAAAGGGAATCACTTGTATATTTGGAGCATCTTGAATGTAACTCCATACCTGATTAGGGTATTACGATTTGTACGTGGGTCAGTGTGCTTGTTCTTTCCCCAGCTCATAGCTTGAAGTGTCCTGGTGCGAAAAGGAATAAACATCGATATATACTCATAAAATGAATTGATATAATACGTTTCCCATCTAACCGTTATTCAGGAGGTACATTCCAAACTTGGGAACAAAATGAGCAATATTGAAAACAGGTTTTCGCTGAGCCAGCTTTCTCCATGACACTGACCTCAGATGCCACTAAACAATTCCACAAACTGGTTCAAAACAAATCGGACAATATGCAAATTGACCCTTACATTAACATTCAAATTAATATTCTGTAGAAATTGAGATGATGAATAAATAAACCTCTTCCGTAATTGCCATAAGTCAAAAAAAAAGAGTGCCAAGTTTTCAATTTTTCTCATCATTATATGCATTTTAATACAGTATTTTCGTCTCAGTAAAAATCATGACCATATCCACCGTATAATTTCTGGTCGAGTATTAAATTAGTCAATTCAGTTTTTCTTTTCTTTTTTAAAAAAAGGAGGAAAGAATTAAAAAAAATCAGCATCCAGATTTATGCAGACCCTTGTTTTATCTAGACAATATGATGTACTGCAAATATTTTGAAAAGCAGTTGAAATGTTAATATATAATTAATCCTACGGTGTTGTATAAGTTGTGTAGTGTGAATGTAATTTGTGAATTATTGCGCTTCTTGCTTTCTCACCCCACCAGAAGTATGCAATCAAACACAGTGTGTTTCATTATAATTACTCAGTTTCATAGATGTATGACGGTACATACATTCACAACTAACTTCCAGTATGCAGTCAGCTGTTTTTTATATATAATCCCAAATTTTGTGGACTTTAATGTACATATACCATGTTACATACATTGATGCCGATTTGCATAAATCTGGATACTTAATCACAAAGTAGTGGTAGTTGTAGTCAAAAAAAAAAAAAAAAACTATAGTTGTTTTACACATAAAATAAATAATCTAAAAAAAAAATATTTGGTACACTGAATTACATGTGAAACATAGGATATGTATAATTTGTTGCAATTTACATAAAACATCTATTTCCGTCAGCATGCAAGGTGGGATAATGGAATATGAAAATGACAAAATGTAATTCTGTACAAAAAGATTTCTTGAAATGTTCAATTATCTATATGCAATTGACACACATTGTACTGTTTCAATGAGTTTGATATAAATTGTGAACTGTCTTAGTAGTAGAATTATTAAATAAGTAGTTATTTGTAATATGCTAGCTCAAAACTTCGTTAAAAAAGGAATCCTGATTTTCTCATACTGTATTTCTCGCAAAGTGTCAGTGCTGGGTATCGTGCATTACGATTATCCCCGCCACTGTCTCTACTGTATTCCTGACAAATCATTAGTATTGGTAATCGTGTTTTACGATTACCCCGCCACTGTCTGTAGAAAATGTTGATTGGTTATATTTTAAATTGAACAGTTGTGCGGGTCACAGTCTATTCATCAAATTTCAATTACCTTGCAACACTGTTGGCCTGTGAGGGCGCTTACCATGACTGAGCCAGACAGAAACAAATTTGTTAAAATCCATATTATTTTTACAGTTTATATAGCCTTTAAAAGGTTTACTTAAAAGTATGAGAAATTCAGGATAAATTGTATATTTAAAAAGTAGAGTAAATATGGCAGTGCTTACTGTGTTGTCATAGGTGCATCAATACATTCACTTGTGAACAGCTTGTATAAAAATCCTAAATAATGATATTGAATTTGTTTACCTTGCTGCTATAATAGTGATACATGTGCTAGTCTTATTACTCTTATTTTTGTTTGTTTGTATAAGTGGTCTAACCCTTCAGTAAGTTGTAATGAAATTTATCAGCAATTGGCATTAAAAAAATTGTTTTTTTTTTCAAAGAAATATTATGTCTGTGTTTTTTGTTTTGTGTGTCCCATTGGCTTCATAAAAAATCATTGGCAATTTAGTGAAAAGAATGATGTTCACTACGTAAAAGTGCTTCTGATGACAACTGAGTTTTTGTGATATAACAAAAGTTTTTATGAGTTGAATAAAATGCACATGTTTCCCTGGACTACATTTGGTCTCAATTTGAGCCAACCTTTACAGATTTACCTGTTTAACCAGACCGTACTTGATTCTATCGAGTCTTACATTTGCCAATATACCAAGTTTGGGTGACACATCCTTTCAAATATAGAAGAATTTACAAGAAACCAGTTTTAGTTTAGTAGTTTATGTTCAAGCCCCCCCACACACACACACTTTTATAATTTCTCTGGTATTTGCAGGCTTCGAAAAACGAATATGCCAGTTTTGCTTAATCACATATGTTGGTGGCGCTATTGTGAGATGCTCCCGGGATCTGGTGCAAATACAAAGGTGTCAACTTGATAATAAAGTACATTTTGAGCTGGATCCTCTTTAAACAAGAAGAAAATATAATCTTCTGCATTT